CTGCTGAATGTAGGTAGACAGATAAATCTATCATTAGCAGGAGTGCCAGATTAGATAAGACATCTGCATTTTGTCTAATCTGCCACATTGACCAGACCTTGTGTATCAGACCTGGCTCATGTTCTTTATACCATTTCTTTCATTCAGAAATATTTTTGGTTTAAATTGTCAAAACATGACATTCTGTGTTCAAACCATTATCAGCATTTTTACTACAAAGAATACAAGTACAGATGTGTTTACAATGGGTTTATCTCCTGTCTTTAGCAACCGTGAAAATTCTGCACTTCCCACCAAACTACTTCTCAGCTTCTAATCACGTCTGCTTAGGACATTCTCTAGGCCTCTCATTGCTGCCACACCAGTAAAGCTCATACAGCAGAGAGATTGCCTAAAAGCTGCCTCCTCAGAGGCTTCTAAAAGAAGCAACAGCACCAAATGTGGCAAAATGAAGTAGTTTGCTTAGGAAAGTGAGCCACTAACATTTTGATCAGTGAACTACCCTTAATGCTTAAGCTTTTTTATGAATCATATATATCACCCAAATATCAGCTGCAAACTATGTGCCATGGCCTCGTGACTACTAGTGTGGGAACCTTTGGCCAAGGACATCAGTAGATTTGGCAGTGACATAGGAATTTTATTTTTCAGTAGATCCAAATGCCATACAATAAGATTTGGGCTGTACAGAATTATTGTCTTAGTATAAATATTAGGTCACTGATGTCATGGTTCAACCCGCAACATTGATGATATGTACTTTTGCAGTTTATTTCCTTTTCATTCCAGGTAAAAGCTGTATTAGTGAAAAATCATAGAAAATAAAAATAAATAAAGGTAGCAATATAGTTGTGTTCAGTTTCTGGATTATATACTGCTTAAATTTGATATAGTTAAAAGAATGTTGTCTAATAGCTGTTCCTTACTAGATGTGATGAGAACAGCACTAGAATACAGTGGATTTTGCATTATTGTTCTCTGGTGTATATCCACCGTGCAGATTTTGTCCCAGAGTCTAGGAGACTACATCCTTGCAGCAAGGGCTGAGGGTAGGAATAACAGTGGAAGCAGAGAACTGAAGTGACATGGTAATGTCAGCAAGTTTCTAAATCATTAAATTCTTCATCTTAAGGTTGCTAGCTCTGTGTTGAGAAGACCTAGTGGGCAAAGACAGTAAAGTCAGGCTTCTGATCACTGGGAAGGAGCTGCAAACCATTTATGCTGAAATGTAACCAGTAGTTTCTCTCTCCACTAAACCCACAGTCCAGGAAACAGGTATTGCAGGATTGAACAGTTATATTAGCAATTCTATTCTTCGTGTGGAAAGCATGGTTGAAGCACCTGACACCAATTTTGCAGTCTAATGGTACCGGCAGGGGAGCAAGTTATGGTGAAGAGACACTGGAAAAATTGCTCTTAAATATATGTGCATATTTTAGACTTCTACATCTACATTAAGGTGTACAGGGTAACTGCACACAGAGTTAAGAGGTCTGAAACTCCCCTGGCAGACATTTAACTGTGCAACTTTCTTTTAGGATTGTTTCAAGTCGAACACGATGAAAAGAACAGTTGATCTAGGATGGAAAAGATGAGTTATAGGAAGAGACAGTGTAGTGTGTTTTATAACAAAAAAAAGATATTTACTTCTAAAAAAATTGCTGGCTTAAGCTGATAAGATAAATAATGCATTTATAAGTGAAGGAGCCTTAGTTTAAAGACAAACGATAGGACATAATTAGATGCAAGTAGACATCCAAGCAAATTAATCTTTAATTTTTGAAAGTGCTGCATACCTGAACATTGTCACTGAGTTGACTGGCCTGAGAGAAACTCGGAGCAGCTGAAGTGTGTCACAGGGAAATAATCCTAAAAGGTTCTTATGACAGACTCTAAAAATCGCAGCTTAGGCAAATTAGCACATCTTTTGCCAGGTGATCCTATGGTGCTGAATATTTTCTTGTAATTTCAAGTACCTATACAGAAACTCTATTAAATTGCAGGTAAGTGCTTTCTAAGGTAACACAATATTGAGATAGAATATTAAAAACAAGAGTCTTCTTATCATTCAAAACTTATGTTACATGGCTGTATCTGGGGGGATTGTTCACTTTGGCTTTTGCAGGTTCCCGTAAAATGGAATTTAAGGGAAGTTCCTGGCATGAATCCTGTTTCATTTGCCAGTATTGCCGGCAACCATTGGGAACAAAACCATTGATCACCAAAGACAATGAGAATTACTGTGTGCCCTGCTTTGAGAAGCAATTTGCTCACCATTGCTATGGTTGCAAAAAGGTAATTAAAGATACAATGGAAAAACTTCCATAACGAGGAAAAGTTGTTCATGGGGGAAGGGGCTGGATCATGTAATGAAATGTCTGGTGAACTAAGAGTAAGAGCAGAGTCTTCCTTTTGACATTGGACACGGAAAGCCAACTGTGACAGTGTCCACTGTCCCCTTCTAGTTAGTATTAATATAAACCTTACTATATTTGGAATAAATTTATTGACCAAAATACTTTCATATTCTTTTGTTATTAATTACAATTTTTAGCAAAGGTTGAATTTTTCACTGAAAGTTATGTAAACCCTTCTTTCCTAATAATATCTGATTTTGCCTTTATAAACAAGCTTCCCTTTCCAACATTTTTTAGATACATTCTCATGCATAATAAGCCACCTAAGCTGAGCAAAGCATTCACAGTCTTGCCTGTTTTTCTCTTGAAATGAATCAGGCAATAATCAGATTAAATTATATTAATTTGTGATAATACAAGAGTCCCACTTTTCCAATACATGAAGCTTCCCCTGTGGGTATCAGAAAGCTTGATTTTAAATGAGGTTTTCTTTTATCCCCAAAATACAAATAAATCAATTCATCCCTCCCTCAATTTCTCATGTCTTAAAATTGTCTCTGGTTGATGAAAACACTCAAAGTATCACACTATCCTAGAATCATCAGAGAATCATATAATACCAGGTTGGAAGGGACCTCAAGGATTGTCTGATCCAACCTTTCTTGGCAGAAGCACAGTTCTAGTGAGATACTGTTCTCTAGGAAAATGTTTCAAGCTGCTTTTTATGGCAGAATTTAACTTATTCTTTGGTACCTCTAGAAGTAAAAATTATTTTTTCTTCACTTCATCAAATAACAATTTCTAAAATTATTTAATGTCTATCTGTAAAACTGTACCTCTACCAAAATATTTTAATTTAAGGAAAATCCACTGCTTTTTTGTTTTGCTTCAGTAGAAAATACACTTTAAAAAGTACTTTTATGTATTCCCATGTCTCTAAATCTAGCCTTTAATTTGCATTAAACAATCACATGGCGAATACAGTAATTCTGCTCCCTGCTTATTAGAGGAGTTGAGGTTAGCAGCACTTCTGTGAAATAATCAGGATTTGCTTCTTAAAAATTCTAGAAATGCAAAATGTTCCCCTGCATAACAGCTAAAACATTTTTACTACTTAAACTTGTATCACTTCTCATAAATGAGAATTGAGCCTAAAGAGATTAAATTGCCAAATTGGACTCTTGAATTTTGTGCCAGAGATTTTGAGATTTTAATGGAAAAGCAGATGAGAATCAGAAGTAGCCCAATGCTGGAATGCTAAGGGGATTGGGAACTATTTAAATTTTTTATTGCTTAACATTGCCCAATATTCTTTTTTTTCACTGGAACTGTATTCCTCATGGAAACCTGATACTGCAAATATTTTTACAATGAATTTTCTCCAACTTCTTCTCCTCCTGTTCCAACTGTATTCATTGATTCATTCTTTCACTGCTGTGGCTGTGACTTGACAGTAGAAGCACTATGTTACAGCTCATCCTTATCTCTGCAGAAATTTCTCTATACAGTCTCTCACAATTTCTGTAAAACCAGCTCTTTTCCATACATACGGAAAAGATAGAGCTACTGGAAATTTCCCTCTTCAGAAATCACCAATGGAGAGCTGTGAGTGTGTTACAGGGAATGAGAAGTTTGATGGCATTGATAACACCATTTTTTCTTCTTCTGACAGAGTAGATCTCCTTTCTGTCTCACTTCTGCGTCTCTACTGTCTCTTTCTTCCTACCTAAAATACTGTTTCAGTTGTGAGACAGCAAAATGCCAATTCCAGTTGGATATTAGCCATAATCTCAGCATTGGCTCTTTCATCCACTGTCCATCACTGAGAATTGCTCTTCCAAGAACATGACTGATGCTATGCCTTTATACACATGTGTAACAGAAAAACACAAAGGGGAAGGACTTATGAAGGACTGGATTAATCCTTCAGGATTCACACCTTTGTCTCACTGCTTTATACTTTTTTCTCAATACATTAGGTAATAACTTCTGGAGGAGTGACCTACCATGACCAGCCTTGGCATAAAGAATGCTTTGTGTGTGTTGGATGTAAAACCCAGCTGTCTGGACAAAGGTTTATTTCCAAAGATGAATATCCATACTGTGTAGACTGTTTCAGTAAACTGTATGCTAAGAAGTGTGCTGCTTGCAAGAAACCTGTTACAGGTGAGTCTCATCTCCTGGAAGGAACTAGACAATGATGAACCATTAGTCTTCTCTCAAATCAGACCTTTACTTTAGAAAAGAGCATAAAAAATGGTCTCATCCTAATGAAAGACCAAGGGAGTTATCTACTAGAGAGACCATCTTGCTAGGCCATACTGATCACATGTGTTCCCCGACTGCTGCAGAGTTGTTTTATGTGCTGAAAGTAGTTTTTCCACTGTTCAATTTAGTATTTTCGGCACTAAAATTCATCTCTAAGAATATATGAAGCGGCACATTTTTGCATTCCCCAGCACAGTATACACAAGTCCCTCATGTATGTAATTTCTTCAGCTTTGTTTTTAAATGCAAAGATGATCAAGCTGGACATGAATTAACTGCCTACTGCTAAGACCCATCTGTCAAATTAGAAAGCTTGCCAAATGCTACAAAGCTCTATTGCATGTATCCTTGTGTTCTTAGATAACTTATAATTAAACTTATAGGTCACAAGTCTATGATAGCTGAAGTTTTCTGAGAGCATTTGCTGGTGTTCTGCATTGTAATTCTATTATGTGTGCACTCAACTGCTGGAGAGTATTGCCTGATTGTTACTGGTGCATGCTGCATATGCAAGTGGACAAATATAACGATGAATATGCAATAAATGGGTATGATTTTCCTGTAAAAAAAAAACAAACCAAGCAACAACAACAACACAAACCAAGCAAACTAACAAAAAAACCACTCAAACCCACACTAATGTTTTATTTCAGATAGTCATGCTAGGAACTCCGTGATCTGGTAATTTCCTGAAGACTCCATCTTGAAGAAACTTAAGTGGAAATAATTAAATTTCACTCACTGATGTATAAAGTAACTGCACACTGCAAATAATTTCCATGAGAGTTTGTTGGGAAGATCAGCAAACCTGAGTGGGCATTCTGATAAACCCATTCTGTTCAGATTTCATAATGGGATATAAAAACAAACAAATGACTTCTGGCTTTGCTTAAAATATGTGTCACTGTATTTAATTTCAAAGTTTTTACAATTCTGCCAACAAAGTATATTTCAGATTATGGATTTTTGATTATTTTTTTCTTTGCTATATGAATGATAACAAGATCACTTATCAGAAAGCAATCTGTTTTATTTCTGAACCATGGCCAGAAATACTGGATTCACATCTTCTTTCTCATAATCTCTTTCAGCTCTAGGAGGTGCCAAATTTATCTCATTTGAAGAGCGCCAGTGGCATGGGGAATGCTTTAACTGCGCAAAATGCTCTGTCTCGTTGGTGGGCCAAGGATTCCTCACGCGGCAGGATGATGTCCTTTGTCATGAATGTGGCTCTGCTTCGTAGTCCTGTGGAGAGCTGTACAGCTGCATTACTCTCACTCTGTAGCCATGTACTTCATTACTCTGCAGTAAGATAATAATCTAAAATGTATAACAGTTATTTAGTCATTCAAGTAACTTTCTAACAGCAGTTTAATTCTATAATAGCTCTCAACTGCTCATAAGATATTTAAACAGCTTTGTATTGGCTAAGAAAATAGTGCAGAAAATATTCATGTATATTTTAAATCTAACTACAGTATGTTTCTTCTTGTAACACACTGCACTCTGCTGTTAGAAGCTTAAAAATTTACATTTCATCTCCCATGAAACAAGGATTGTGAAAAGTCAATATGGCATATGTCTAATGATGAGGCATTAGCACTGCTTCACAAGTGTGGACCTTGGTGTAGAAAGTTGGGCACATGCATTTTTCTGTTGGATCATAACATTGATGAGAATGACCTGTAAATATTAACTTCCTCCACACTTCAGGCAATAAAGGTGCTGACAAAACAGGCAGAAAATGGAAGAGAGGGTACTTTTACACAGAGGGCCACCAAGCCAGAAACTCATTCCAGGGTCAGATAAAGGGAGTGTCCTTCCTTACTTAGCATAGTCTTTAATGATCAAAATAACCTGAGTGAGATCCTTTCCCAAAACTGGTTAACTGTACTTAATTTTTCAGGCATAACTGCTTTAGAACATAAATAAATCTATATTTTGAGCTACTGTAACAGATAAGGATTGCCCAGGATTAGGTAGTACTGATGCACACTTTCCCATAGCTAATACACCTTAAGACTGTCTCCATTGTCTTCACTAGACCTTCAAATACATGTATGAAATATATTTTTTTATTAGTAGAGACAAAAACCAACTCATACTTGACCCTCTAACCTCATACTTTCCTTTATTCAGAGCCCATTTGCCAGCAATGAAAACACTGTTAATGGCCTTACCTTTTCCACCCTGCTAGGTCTTTGATACACAGTCTACCCCTTTTCTTGTAAATGCCTGCTTGTCTATAGCAAGCTGTAAGCTCTTCAAAACCAATAGTCAACTCATTTTGCCACATGCCTTGTGCATTTGCCAATATTATGTCAAGAATTGTCAATGTTTTCTTTGCAAGCTAGGCAGTCCTCACTTGTAGTACAAGGTACCAGTTTCTAGGTAGCTGGCTTTGAGAAGGTTATATCTGCTCACTGAGCTTCAGCACTCAAGTATCTATTATTAAAGGTCATCTAGAGCTGAGTTACAAGCATTTCTCTTCTTACTTCTCCATGTTACAATGACCTGGTTCATGTTACAGTGTTTGTACCAGGCTGTTGTGAATGGTGCACTGATATGAAGGAAAGATGGCAGATTTTGCACTGCTCAGCACTGGTTTAGACCCCATCTTGCAAGTCTTTGAGCCCTATGTTCTCCTTTAGACTCTGACCCTAAGTGCATAGAGTTGTTTGGCTGACTTGAGTGGTCTTTCCTCATACTGAAGCCAGCCATTGCATTAGGTAGAAAAATGAAAAAAAAAAAGAGAAAAGAAAGAAGATAATATGTGTGCATACCTAAGTCAGAGCTGAACTACAGAGACATAAAATCAGTGTGGATAATGACTGACCAACAGCAGTCTGTTCTCCAGTGAATAAAATACTGATCTTTTGCTCTACATGGTATTCATTTTTGGTTTTCAGTTTCTTCTTTCATGGCAGCTTTTATTGCAGTCTGGAGTTAGATTAGTTTGTGCCTTTTCATTTTATCCCAGCACCTCCTTTTCTGTTTTCACATTTTGCATGTCTAATACAGGCTCTTGGTAAGACTTGGATTTCCATAAATAGAAATCAGTTTCATTGCCTTAAATATATATAAACATACAAACATACATACAGTGGTTCACAGTTACGTATGATGTTCTAAAAATGTACACCAAGTCATCAGAAATTAGTCTATTAGTAAATGCTAATAGTCTTAAATTTTTAAATTAAAATGATGAATCACCAGATGCAGGCTTGTCTGTGGGATGTACCTTTTGTTTGTGTTGCGTGAAATAACATCCAGCAAATGTGATTTGGGCCCTTTATTCAGTCTTGTCTGAACAATCTTCCAGCTTAGTTACAAACTGACGCAAGAATTACCAGGCAGAGTACTAAGCCATGAGAGCGTCACAGGTCAGACACAATGATCATGATAATCCAAATCTTCAAGCCTTAACATTTAGGAAAATGAAATTCTTCTCTGACTCATCAACTAATTATATTTTTAGAAATACCAAGTGAATTATTTATTTCTCCTGCAGTAAATATACTCCAGTCAAATCTGAAACTGAGCGTTTTCACTTCAGAGTAATAATAAGAAATAAATGCAACTGCTATAAATATTTTGGATAAAAGTTATGCTACATATCACATTGATATTTCCTAGTCTAAATCACAAGCTACCAATGTGTAAACATAAATACAGTAATACTCTGCATGATTTGGGTCATGTAGATGAAATCCAACTTGGGTGGATGCAGAGAAGGGCTGCAAGAAGGACCAATGTGTCTCTGTGGAAGACTATAGGTTGTGGAGGGGATTAGATGGCTGCTGTAAGCCAAGAGAATACATTTGGTTCAAGAACAAGGGCAAGCAAACTCCTCAGGAACCATGATTCCCAGAACCAAGAGGGGAACAGCTATGCAGTCAGTTTTAAAGTGTTGCTTGATCAGTGTGTTAAAGGATATATAAGATGATCACTTGGAATAGCAAAGCACTGGGCAAAATGAATCAGATGGTCATCTTCAGTCTTTGTTACTAACATTTGATTTACTGCAGGATGATCAGGGTACAAACTCCAGTACAATTCAATTTTCTTTAATAAACTTCGTAGGATTCAGGTTTCAGAGATTTATTTTTAAGTCAATCTTTTTTAATGTGCTTGTCTTTAATATTGTACTGTTTAAAACACACCTAGTTCTTCCCTGTGTATTAGCTGCCCAGCTCTAAGGTAATTACATCATTTTTTTAATGGTCAATTTCAGTTATCCTAAGGTGCAGCAATGTCTCCTATTCCCTGATTATGTCTCCACTGCACTCATAGTTATCTAAGGGGGGGAGGCTGCCATTTAAGACTAACTTCTGAAGAGTGAAATAAGTGCCCTATTACCTCCCTCAATGTTTAAGGCTAAAGTTTAAGTTCTTCAAGCACTGCTTAATTGCCAGAGAACTCCAGGAGGTAATGTGCCTAAAATAAAAAGTCCTGGAGTATTGATATCAAATGACTCTTTTCTACTCGTATTTCACAATTTTCACTCTGTTCATGCAGTGAGACTAAGATACCAGACTTTTCCTGCACTACTGCTTTTAAAATCCAGGCAAGTTTCTAGTAGAGGAAACTAGCAGGCAACACCCAGAAGCAGTAACTTAGAAACCCAGCATCACTTCCCAGCATTTCACAGGTGAAGGCACATGCTCCAGACTCATGACTTAGGTCTAGGATGAAACTCAGACATCCTCCATTCTCTCAACTTGATCCCTGGTTTTCTGGAAAGAAAATCTGCAAGCCTAGACTAGGTAAGAGCTAGGACATAGTCTGGCCTATCAGTGAAGTGTGTGTCACACCACAGTGTAGTTTTTCTGCACATGCAAGTTCAACTGGTTCTTGTACTCTACTGGTATATATCATCCCAGGCTTTCCTCTTGGCAAGAGTGGCTCAGTGCACCTGAAGGAGCATTAGAAGAGAAGTGGTAAGGTTTTGCAAAGCCTTCTGAACTTCTGGTTTCACACACTTCACAGGCCGCATCACAAGAGGGGAGGTACCTGTTTATACCTCACTGAGTTGACCAGCAATTTCAGCACCAGGTCAATATTTTTATGAATCAGAATTGATAGAATGGATGTAGAATAGCATATTGTATTTTAGGAAAACAGGTAAAACCACAGTGAAATTTATACAATGACAGTTATCAATAGCTGAAGGAAAGTAATGTTACATGACTGTCCAAGTATAAGCTCAGAGATCACTTCTGTAAACAAAAAAGTTGGATGGTATTCAAGTTTATAGCAGAACAAACTTG